ATGAAAAGTTAAAATTTAAAAATATATTGTATGACATTAATCAAGTTTAAAATTGATTTTGAATAAATTGTTCAAAAGTTTAACAATGTGAAGTTAAAAAAATATTTCAATACATTTTTCATTGAAAGGTAGTCTGGAGTTACTACGCCAGTGTTTGATGCTATTGTATCAAAAACTATGCCTATGACACATTTAATACAGTTTCTTGTTCTAGTAGTTTATGTGTTCTTTTATTTCAGTAGTTTATGTGTTCTCTTACCTTAATCATTGTTTCCATCTTTTTGGTTGAGTTGTATAGTGGTGCTGGGACACTAATTTTACACCTAAAAATCCTGAAGAAATTTTAGAGTATTCTGACTCTCTGAACCTGAAACTTATCTGAAGGAAGAATCAGAAGGGAAGAATTGGATTCTTCTTTCCTTTTTTTTTAAGCATGTTTTGTTGCCAATTAAGTTCATCAACTCCAAACTTAACCGAAAGGAAAATACTGACTTTATAAGATTTACATTATCTTTAGGTATTTGTAAGAATGGTCTGCACACAATTTGCTTTGTATCTAAAAAATGCAATGTATCAAATATTGAAGTGACTTTTTTTCAAAATAAAATTGTTTTACTAAACAGAAAATTAAGCAATTAACTCAAGAAATTTACTCTAAAGCACCAATATATATTGTGTCTGTAATTTAAATTGACTCAAGAAGAATTACTTATGTGGAATATTGATAGAGTGTATGTGGTACTTTTAGTATCTAACAACTGTTTTAATAGTTTTAAGTAATTACAGAATATCATTTGACAGAATATTTTTTGGATTCCATTCGACAGTTTTTTCACTTCTTTATAAGAACACTGTTTCATTCAATTTTTTTTGTGTCAAAATAGAAATTGCTAGAAACTTTAATTACGTAGGGTTATTTTTTGTTATGCTACAAAATAACCAGCCATAACCAGGCACAGGATGGAAGGTGGTTGCAAATATGTAACGCATTGCGAGGAAGTGCTTTATCCTGTGCTGCTGTGAATCTTGCTGCTTGTGTAGTTTACAACAGTTTGGAAGAGGAAGAAAAGAAAGATGCAAAGAAAATTGAAAATATGTTGTTGCAAGCTTTTTCTTTGGATTCCTGCACAGCATATGTTTTGTTCATGAAGAGAAGAATAAACTAAATAGATAGAAAAAGTGGGTATGTTTTTGGTATATCTGAAATGCTTGATGTATTTGGCAAAGTTGCCAAATAAAGAGGTGTAACTGACATTGATTGTTGGATTGGCAGAAGCAGTGTCTTTGAGATTTCGAGCCAAATAAAAGACGAAGCGTTTCCTAAAGTAAGAGTGGTTCTGAATCACGTTGAACCAATGGGATGAGTGAATGTCACTGCTGCCATTACCTGCCAAAATTTGGGGGAACAAAGTTATCTAAATCTGTGTTAAGCTATAAAAATTTATATTGCAAACAACTGCACAGCACCCAACAAAAATGTTTCAATTGCAATGATCTAGGGCATGTGTCAACAAATGTGCCTAGCAGCAGGTGAATGGTTGGGAGAGAAAGCAGTATGTGCCAACATGCTCTCAAGAAACCAAAAGTTTAGCGCATTTGTTGTCGATTAAATGAAAGTTGATGGTAGAATTGTGAAAACTGTTGTGGATACTAGATGTTCATTGATGATTATTTTTCAAAAATTAGTTTCTGATGACTTGTGCTGACATTTAAAGCTTCAACTTTCATAGAAAGCTATACAGCTTTCAAGCTTCCAGCACTATTTGCATATGCAAATAGTGCCTATTGCATGGATGCAAGGAAAGTTTAAAGTTGAAATAAAGTGGAAGGATTAGAACAAAAAATTGAACATGTGTTACTAAAAACACCTTAGATGTGTTGTGTGACAAAGTGGAGTCTAGGTATTATCACTCAGGACATATTGGACCCAAATTCTTGAGTTAGATGAGATGCTGTACCATGTAAATCATGTAAAACCAAGAAATAGAATGCAGCTCAGCCCAATATGCCATATGAGGGTTTTATAAATAAAAATCAGCTATGACAATCAGAGAAATAACAAAGATGTTGAACATGCTGATTATAATGAGGCAATTACATTAACAAGTGAGTGTACAGATCTCAGCAGTTGACAGTGAGATCCAAGCAACCGAGAACAACCAATAGCTCTCAAATTTTCTGAAGATTGTTGTTAATGAATGTAATTTTAGAGGATCAAGTAGGAGTGTAATCTTTTTATGTCAAATTAAAATTTACTAAAAGCTTTATATATATTTATTTTTGTTATGACATAATAATTTTATAATGGTTTTTAATTAAATATTATTTTTAATATGTTTAAGTGGTATTTAATGTCAATATTTGTGGATTACAATATTATAAATTTTGTATGAACAAATTTATATTTACTTAAGATATCTTTAAATTTATTAATGTGTTTTGTGTGAAAAATCTACAATTCGTTGATATTAAATGAATGATTACAAGTTTCATAGCTACACAGTTTAATTGCACCATGACTACAATAGTACAAATAAACTTTTTAGTTTCATAGCTACATGGTTTTTTTTAACCATGATGCACCCAATACAATTCTTTAGATTCCCTTAAGATGTTAATAATACATCTTGTCATATATATATATATATTTTAACTTTATTATTATCTTTCTTGTTTAGCAACTTTTTTGTCATTCCACTTCAAATCAAAAAATCAAAAGTTTTTAATCAGTATTTTTGACTTCAAACAAAAAAAAAAAAAAAAAAATTTGTTTGAGAATTAAATTACTAAATTTAATAAAGTTAAAATAAAGATAAATTCAAGTAAAGATAATTTAACAAGGAAATTGAAATGCAATATAATTTTTTGGAATCAAAACGATTGTATAGCTAATAAAAACTATACTATCAATTTGCTGGAATCAGTTGATTTTTGAAGATATTAATTTGCTGGAATCGGTTGATTTTTGAAAATGCCAATTTGCTGGGATCAGTTGATTTTTGAAGATACCAACTATTGATTAGCAATTTGATTGATTTTTTGTGATTTCAAAAAAAAATACTGTCTTGTAGAAGCACAATTTCAAAATGACAGCGAAAAAAGTATTTTGATTAGAAGAGTGAGAATAATTTTATCAATTAGAAATTATGTTTTAATTAAGTAATGCAAATTCAGATTGGTTAGGCATAGAGGGAGTTGTATTTTACTGGGGGGTCTGATAGTGTTATCCTGTATTTGAACCTTTATTATTCATATTGTTTATCAAGGATTACCAATAATAGTAATATAAGTTTATGCAGATGATCATAAAATTGTTGCAGTGATTGGTTACTTAAGCTTGGACTCAGTACTTTTAAACAGATAAATTAATTGGTATAGCAAACAAATGGTTTATTAAGGTATTCAAAAATACAAAGTAATTTTTTGAAAATATAACAAGATATTTAATTTCTTATAAACAGAATTGCTATGTATTCCAACTACATGACAAAAAATGTTTTAATTAAATTAATTATTTTTTCAAATAAATTTTCAAGAACAAACTTTAAACATATATTATTTTTTATTATCTTTTTTTTAATTATTATTTTTGTTATTTAATTTTATCTTTAATAAAAAACAATTTTATAAAACAATCGGTTGGTGCTTCAATATATTCACAGTATATTGATTACAATCTTTACCTTTATAAATGTCTTTCTTATCCTTGTATGAAATACTGTTGTCATATTTGGGCTGGTTCTTCTATTAAGATTCTTCTTTTAGACAAGGTTTAAAATTGTATTGTAAATGTTGTTAAACCTGCTCTAGCTGTCAAATTTATGCCTCTGTGCTGTCTCCATAAATTCGCATTTCTTTTTTTTACATAAGTACTACCATAGTTGCTGCTCAAGCAAGATATCAACACTTGTTACATCAAATATCAACCTTGTGTGGCTCATTATTCAACATTGCATTCTTTTACTTCAAATTTATGCCTGACAAACTTTTATCTAGTTTTTTCCCTTGAACGTTGGCTTATAAAACTTAAATTTTTTTTATCGTCATGTTTTTAAAATTCATACAACTAACTGTTTTTTAAGTCTTCTATTAACCACTTTACGTGGCTAACAATAAGTCTTAGTGAAATTATCTTCTGACAACTGCTTTCTTGCTCTTCAACTATTTTTTGTTAAATTTATCAATGTGGATTCACTCTTAACACTAACTCATAATAGTGGTTGCTTGCAGCCTTGTTTAAAGTGAATTTGAAAAAAAATTATTTTTTTATAACAATTTTTAACAATTTTTTTAGTTTCTTTTTTTTTCCTTTTTCTCCTTTTTTTTTTCCTATTTTTATTTTTTGTTTCCTCTTTATACTTTATTATTATTATTATTATTTATTTATTTGTATTTGAAAAGAATACGTACAAAATACAAGATAGTGAGACAGATAATTACTAAATTACTCTTATTGTAACGCCAGCAAAAAAATAGTAAAAAAGTAATAAAAAAATTTTCTATTATCAATAGTGTATTTATTACATGGAATAAACTTTTGTGACTTCTAGTAAAATGTTTTGACTTAAAAAAGTACAAAAATTTGTAAATCAATAAGATTATGAGATTTTTTAAGTCATATAAAGATCAAATTTAACTCTGCAATATTCAAGAGATTTAAGTTGAAAGACAATAAGTCTTGATGTAATATGACATCTTTTGCTGACAATTCTGGTAATTTTTGAACATTTTCTATGCAAGTTATATCTTTTGAAAGATGAGGACTCCAAACTATGGTGCAAGATACAGGCCATAACTCTATAAGCTTTTATAAAATTTGTTAGCTTTTTTTTTATAACTTTGTAAATTTTATATAAAAATCTTTTGAAGAAGTTATTCACTAAAAAACAAAAAAACAATTTTAATGGTAAAGTTATGTATTAGCAGGCCTTTTACTGCTTGTGTAATTTATTAAAAAAAAAAGTGGTTTTTTATTGCAAAATTATATAAATTTTATTTAGATGAAGCAAAATATTTACTGCAACATTTAAAGTCTTCGTACAGTGGTGAAATAGCCTTTGAAATTGAACATATTGAGGTATTATTCTATCATTTAACTATAGCTCTATCATACAAGATTTTAAGGAATAAAAATGGTTTCCATACTTTACATTGTAACATATTTTTTGCTTTAAAGAAACACAATATTAGTGATTATGATATAAGTACTATTTTACGAATTCTCAATTAAAATTAACAAATATTATTAATTTCCATTTATTATTGTGAACAAAGTATATATGTATTGAGTTGAGTCAGATTTATTTTTTTTAAAAAGCAAAATAAAAAATCTCTGTCTTCTCCTTAACTTTTTATATGTGTAAACCTTACACTGATAGAATAGGTAAAGAGAGTCTAGAAAGAAAGTTCACTTTTGAGTTTTCTGAAAAATTATAAACTACTATTTAAAAAATAATAAATTGGATTTATAAATATATTTATTAGTTATATTTGTGTTTATTAAAAACAGAAAAATTAATGTTTATATAAATATAGTTGAAGTATTAATTGGTTAAAATAATATTAATAGCACTATTAATATTATTTTAACCAATTAATATATAATACTATAATATAACATAATAATATATAATAATAATAATATAAACATAATAATAATATATCATATAACCAATTAATATATAATACTACCCGCTTGGGTTGTATTATATTAAAGAAAAGTGCTATAAATTAATAGTACTATAGTAAAGCAAGGAACATATATAATATAAACAAATAAAAAACAAGTTAATGAAAAAAAGATTTTTTTTATCTTATGTTGTTAAGGTGCTTCGAGAAGGGTCTTATCATGCTTAGGGTTTAGGTATATTTTCTTTAAAATGTTATATTATAAAGTTCCTATAAAATAAATAACAAACAATATTTTAAAAATACAACTTAAACAAACCATTAAAAAAAATAAAATAAAAATTAGAAGAAAAGGAAAAATAAACAAAGAAAAATAAAAAACTTAGAATTATTTTAACTCTTTAGTTAACTAAAATTAGTTAACTAAATTTTTAGTGTAACTAAAATTAGCTGACTAACTTTTTAGAACAACTAAAATAAATCAATTAACCTTTTAATCTAAAATTAGTCAACTAACTTTTTAATCTAGCTAAAATTAGTCAACTAACTTTTTAATAGTTGACTAAATTTTAGTTAACTAAAATTACTCAACTAATTTTTTAGTCTAACTGCAACTAGTTGACTAATTTTTTTAGTCTAACTAAAATTAGTCAACTAAATGAGATTTAGTGCTTGAAAAACAAAATAACTAAAATTTTTACACATAAAGGCGCTTTAATAAGGCGGTTGAATACTTCGTTAAATACTTAAATTTTATCTTATTAAAACACTGTCCTAATTATGAATCCAAAAGCCCAGTCAAATCAAATTGTTATTGAAAAATAAAGTATTGTTTTTGCAATGAAAAAGAATTTAGACAAACTATCATTTTAACCTTCTTCAACTAAATCTATGACATGTTTTACTACTAATTGCAAATCTTATTGTTTGAATGTTACTGGCGTTGTTGGATACTGCACTCATTATTTTATCATCTACTTTAAATTTTTCTAGGATTTTTAGCAAATTCTCTTTTAAATTATCTGCCTCATGGCGCCCATTAAGTTATGCAAACCTCAACAAAAAATGATAAAATTGGTTTTGTCAGAAATAAAATGTGCATTTGCTGGTATGTAACAGGACATCCACCCATCAGTAGTAATAGATTAAACTTTAATTGGCAATAATTTCAACTTCAAAAGTTCAACTTTTTTTTTATATAAGTCTGTTAAAAGAGATCTTAACTTTTTTCTGCAAGGCGCTTGTACTTTGGATTTAAACAAAAAACTTTAAAGGCATTACTTTCTTTCAACATAAATGGAAAATAATGAAAAGACTTAAAAGACTAACAATCTTGTCACTATTTTTTTTTTGACAAACCACTTATGTTTTTTAACTGGATGAAAAACTTAAACTGGTTTTGATTTAGAGGGTTTTGTTTATCTACAGTCTTTCTTTTTTCCAACCTTTTCTCTAAACCAGATGTTAAACCGGCGTGTTCAATTGGAGCAAGCGTATTATTGTTTGACTTTCAATTTCTTTTAAGTTTATAGATATTTATCTAAAAGAACTATTTATCTTGTATAAAGCAGGAAACCATTATTTTGAGGATTCAATTTAGACATTCCACAAAAATTTTTATGTTGAGAAATTCAATGTACATAATAAAATTATGACAATTAAATCAATTAGAGAATTCATTAAAATTCATTTAAAGTTAAGAAATTTCAAAAAATTTCATAATTTGTGACAATTAGGTAATAAAAATATTTTGTTTGTACCTAGTATTTATCCAAATGTTTTTTTTTTAATGAAATAACAATCGATTTTTTAGCTAAATGACTCGTTCTAAAACAGCTGATATTTTATACTGATTACATAACTAGTTTATATTTTAATTTTAGAAAGAAAAAAAAAGTTTAACGAGATATATATTCAATAAATCTCGTAAAATCTCAGTAAAATTCACTTCAATTATAAAATAAAGATTCTTTCTATAAAAACATGAAAAATAAACCTTAAAATTGATGCATTTTAGCTGTAAATAACTTTATAAAAATTATTTTTGCTTAACAGTCATAATATTATGGAGTATAGGCAATTTTTATAGCCACCTTGAATAATTTTTTTTTGTTTATTGCATTCCTTAGGATATTTCATTTTAAAAATGGTTTCAACCACCTCTGTAGCTTATTTAGTTCTAAAGATATTTGTGTTTTACCATTTTTAGTTTTTGGAGTTTTTAAGAAATATTTCTGTATCTCGTTAAAATATTATTATATAAATTAGTTATATTATATAATTGATACATTTTTAGTTAACTAAAAAGTTAGCCAACTAATTGTAGTCAGACTAAAAAGTTAGTTGACTAATTGTAGTCAGACTAAAAAGTTAGTTGACTAATTGTTGTCAGACTAAAAAGTTAGTTGACTAATTGTAGTCAGACTAAAAAGTTAGTTGACTAATTGTTGTCAGACTAAAAATTTATTATAGTTATATTAATTAACCAAAAGTTAGTTAGTCAACTAATATTTGGTTAATTAAAAAGTTAGTTGACTAGTTTTTGTTACTGTTTTTTTAGTTTATTTAAAATTTTTTGTTATTTATTTAATTATAAAAATGAATATAATTGTTAATTATATTCATTTTTGTATTAGCTATATGCGTAAGATTTTTCCATTTTATTGTCAGTTGTATTATCTATTATTATTTTATTTATAATATATTGTATCTTCTTAATATATTATTTATTGATTTAATATATTATTTATTGATTATAAATAATATTTATTAATAAATATGATAAATATATATTGATGATAAATAATATATTATTTATTGATTAGATTCACTATTTAAAAGTTTTTATTATTTATTTTTGAATGTTATTATATTTTTATCATTATAATATATTCTTATACATTTATTGATTACTGACTTATATTATTTTAATTTTATCTATTGTTTATTATTTTATCTTTGTTATTAGTTACTAGTATAATTCTGTATTTTTTTATTTAAAATCAAACACCAGATCAATCAAAAACCAACAGGTGGTTAGAATGATTTTAACACACTCAAAAACCAACAGGTGGTTAGAATGATTTCAACTCACTCAGAACTACTTATATTGCCAACAGTATTTTACAAATTTTTTACAATTCCATTAGGGTTAATTTTTAAATACCCATTTCTTATGTGTGTCAATAGCATTTTTTATAATTTTTTTAGGAGCATGTATAGATACATTACTTTCTCTTCTGTATAGAAATTAAATGTCTGTTTTTTCTATTATATTTAATGCTTTTTCTATTCTTTTTTTTTTATTAATTTTCATTTCTACACAACAATTACTTATTTATTAAGTGTAGTTAAAACAAAATATATAGATTAAAAAATATACTAAAAACAGACAAAATGCATAAGCCACATTATAGAATAACACCTATAAATTTTATTAAATACTAATGAACTATTGTTCATTATGATATATGAAACCTATGACATGTCAGGCCTTGTTAAGAAGCGTTACAGCTTTTAAATTTTGCGTACATAATGATAATTTTACCTAAGCGTTAAGCTATTTACATTACTCCAAAACTATTTTCAATTAGATTATTATTTAAACAGTCTTTTAAAATAGTTTATGCGGAAAACAATAAGCAATTATTAATTGTTGTAAAATACATTTGTGAAATATTTTTTTTTATTATATAAAAAAACAGATAAATAATTTAATAAATTTTTTTCTATTTTCCACTTTTTTAAAAAATTTTCATTTTAACTTATTTTATTACTATATTTTTATTATTTTCATTTTAATTTATTTTATTATTATTATTATATTTAAATTAAATTTATAAATAAATATTAATAAATATAAACTTATTTTATTAAATTTAGTTTAAATTCTTTTAAAACTTTTAAAACGCTCTGTTTTACAATTTATTTTTACTGCTAAAATTTCGTAACAATAAAGCAACATTTTTAAAGTCTAATTGTTGAAGTTTATTTTCCTTCTTTTCTTTTCACTTACGCCATTCTGTTTAAATTAGAATGTCAGTTTTCACTTTTAATAAAGAACGAATGAATGTTTTGAAGTCGTAACTGCTGTTAACTACAAACGTTTTTACAAAATTTAATCTTACGTTAAACGTTTATTTATCAAACACTTTTAATTAAATAATAAACTTTTTTATTTAATTTTGTTAAAACGTTTGTTAAAAGCGCCTTCTTTAAATAATATAATAAAATTTTAATATACAAATAAAGTTTTATTGTAAGCTCTATAATAGTAAACATTCCATTGTTTATTATTAAAAATAATTTAAATATAAGGATACATTTTTTTTTTTTTGAATATAACTTCAAAAAAACTTTGTTTGAAAGCTATTTTATCTTTCAATTTAACGCAATAATTTAGACCTTCCTATATTTATGAACAGTAATGTACTCGATGATCTCCTACCC